TATATAGTATTACATAATTTATAATTATATATTTGATATGTTTATACAATAGTTGACATTATTTACAATGATAAATAATTATATATAATTATAAATAAAATTTATAATATATAAATATATTTCGTAACATACAATTATAAAAATAATTACATAATTATACATATTTTATATATTTCGATATATTCTCGCACTTTGAATTTCCCGCGTGCCAGTTTGAATGTAGCCCATTCATTGGACGACTGCGGCTAATACGCGAGTCGTTGGATCGATTGAGTTGGAAGGTATCGAAAACGCTAGCTTCGGCTTATTAAAGGTAATTTATATTTGTTTTTTATAAAATTCTTCTTCTTATGTTCTATAAAATTCATATATTCGAATATTGCGTATATATACAATACTAATCGATTGTGTAGTCTTAATTTCAAATAGTCGGTTGCATTTTAATTAGATGTTGTACGACTTGCGTTGTGTCGCATGTTATTAGCAGGTTTGTTCGTGTTGCATGCTCCAACATGCTTCTATCCATAGTTCCTTCTCACTTCACGGCGTCAGAGTGAGTAGGAACATGACAGGAATACGGTGGAACATTCGACGCGAAAAAACTTAAGAGTGAAGTTATCGTAATTCAAATTTTTCGCGAAATGTCGCGGTTGAGAGACAATAAATAGGGCGACTTCGAGTCGAGTAGCGTCGCGACGTGTTTGATTGGTAAGTAACCCAGTTTTTTAACACTTTATCATTTACGTAACGTAGTATAAAAATATTCGGTGTTCGTACATTGGTAATTTCCTGAAGCGATTTTGCGAGACTCGCGATCAAAGTCACAGAACGATCGGCACAGACAGCGGCCATATATTTTCGGAATATTGTTTATTTTGCAGATTTGCTTCAATTCAAGATCGCATATATTCATTTTTATATCTCGTGTATTAAATCGCGGCGTACGTATTTACTGATAAAAGTGCACTTGAGTGTAAGAGAGGTAGTATCTACATATACATCATTCTTGCGGTAGCTGCTACGCGTGAAGTTAGCTGCGTGATTTACAAATTCTGTCCACCATTTTGAACGCTATTGGCGCTATTTCTGTTCTATTTTCGTTGCTTATTAGATGTAAAAGTAAAATAGAGTGACACAATAAATAATACTAATAGTGTTTCCCTAAACGCACCTTAACTACAGTTAAATCGCGTATCAAATGCTCGGTAAAGGGGACCAACAAATAATCCCTTTTTCTTTTCTACAGTAAAGAGTTGCGCATCGCGAGTGATTGTCGTCGGGAGTATAAGATATCGTTCGATTTTTGCACTGTAGTATTAATTATAAATTTAATTATAAACTTTTAATTATAGTGTGCAAGCGATTAGTAATCGGAGTGAACTTGCAAGTGTGAAGGAGTCCAAAAAAAGAAACAGGAGCAATAAGACGACAATTTGCAATTTAACTATATCTGAGCATGGAGGAGTCCCAGAAGGTATCATAAGGCATCAGCGGAACAATCGCATGGGTTAATATTATTGACTGATTTGATACTTACGGAGTTAATCGTTTAACATCGCACAATATTGTATTATACATATATTAAATAATTATTATTTAATATTATTAAATTAATTATTAATATATCATTTATAGATTTTAATATGTCATTCAACATATTAAGATCCATGATGTAATGAGCATCAAAATTGTTAGACTGTTGGTCATTTTAACTCGTGATATAGTACTGCGTGTGGTAGTTAATTAATTTGCGTTGTAAGTCTAAAAAAATTTCGGCGCGCATTTAGGGATCTACATACGTAGTATATAAATTCACGAAAATTATATTAGAAACATCTAAGATCCAGCTTGACCGTAAATGGCTTATTCTCATCGGTATTTAGTTTGAGATTTTCACCATACAAATAAGAGTGTTAAATTATTATATTTAACTATATTCTCGAAATGTTTAAAATATATTTAATAAATATTTAATATAAAATACACACTTATAAAATTAATATATTTTAAAGCCTATACAATTTTATAGATTATTTTAAAATAAAATTAGTTTTCATATTTATCAAGTTTTACATAGTTTAATGTTATTTATTTATTTTCTGTTAATTCTGTTTAAAGATGAATAAACGATTGAACGTGTGCAATAATTTTAAAATATAAAATATTTTGGGCACTTTTTTAATTTAAATACGTCTGTATTTTTACAGATTGTGGCAGTTTCAGTTCTTCTGTTGCGCATCAGTGTCGGTGAGTTTGAAATTATTATATCTTAAATTGAAATAACAGATAAAACAGATCTATGAAAACTGTATCATATACATGTTATAAGATATAGAGATCTAGATAATATAGGTGTAGTAAAAAGAAATCCATTATTTTTCCAATATATTTCATGTAAAAATAATGGATTTCTTTTTACTACACCAATATATATGCACATCGAATAAATAATCAATATATATATAACAACATAAAATATTAAAATTAAATATAATGGCCCGTAGAACTGAGTCTCAAAATAAACAGATTGCAATAAATGTTATATGAATATTATAATAAATATTTTAATGATACAATAGTTTATATTAGTGATTAAATCCACGAATTATGAATTTATCGATCTTCTACAAAAGAAAATATTAGAAAAATAAGAGAATTCAAAATTAATAATTAATGGTTATTAATGTAAGAGGTGATAATATATATAGTTATTATAGTTACTTTATTAGATTATTTAAAAATTTGTTTAAGAATTATGAGAAAGAAAACAGTTTAGAGATCATTTAGTTCATTTATTCGATATACAGCATGTTTTCTCATGTACACATAAACACGTTAGACACATATACATCGGAATAAACATTAAATAGTTTACAACGAGTTTGTTACTGCTTTCTATTGTGGAGATATTTCCACTTATCATTAATTTGTATTAATCAATGAAATATGTATTTTGTATTTATTCTGCAACCTTATTAGCCTTCGTATAGAAGTCATTTGCAATTTTGCAATAGCATCACGTATCTCGTACAAGCGTCAACGATTCAAGTACAATCTCATAGCGAAATCTGGCGATTTTTGGGGCCGGCGTTAGTCATATAAACATGTAAAAAATATACAAATAAGTGCGGTTCTCCATTCCCTCTGTTAATCCATCTTTGTTCAAGGAAGATTCCTAATCGTACAATAGCACCATCTTTTCTAACGATTTTTAACCGCATGGTATAACGACACTTAAAAATAAGATATATGCTCTCTAAAATGACTCATTAAATCTCTTTTTTTTCTTTTATCTTGATTATTTACGCAGGCATGAAAATCGGACCCATACACCAGCTTGTTAGATATCTACGATATAACGGTACGACGTTAAATAGGTACCTTACAGACTGTGACTTTACGACAAACTTTACTGCTGCCGAAACTATATTATAACGATAATACATAGATAAGCGCTGTCCAATACCTTCCTAACGGAGAGAGAAATTCGTCGTTATGATCGAGAGCCAAACCGATGCGAATCCATTTTGATTTCGTTATATTTAACTACATCTCGCATTATCGTCGATCGATATTCGCTAACGTTGTTTGCCATTTCCTATATAACGAAAAACAATCGATCGAGCCTTTATATCGAATGCGGGGAAGGTTTTGCACTTTTTTTCACATTGCTTATTGTCTGTTCACAATAGCAGCCGCCAACGAATAATTCGCTCTACAATTCGCTTTCTTCTCTATTCTTTTCTCTTAATATATCCAATAAGGGAAAGAATCATATTGTGGACGATGGCGT